GTGTGGGGCCCTGCTCGCGTCCGTGGACTAGGTCACGAGCGCTACTTCCTGTTGGTGGTTGACGACTACTCGCGTTACACCCCAGTCTTCCCCTTGCGCAGCAAGGGTGATGTCACTGAGGTGCTGATCGACTGGATCCGCGCAGCTCGTCTCCAGCTCAGGCAGAGCTTTGGCCCGGACTTTCCTGTTTTGCGTCTGCACTCGGACAGAGGCGGGGAGTTCTCCTCTGGCCTTCTGCGTGCCTACTGTCGTGCGCGAGGCATCCGTCAGACCTTCACGCTTCCGGACTCACCGCCGCAAAATGGGATTGCAGAGCGCCGCATTGGCATGGTCATGGACGTTGCTCGTACGTCTATGATGCATGCGGCTGCCCCCCATTTTCTGTGGTCGTTTGCGGTCAGGTACGCGGCGCATCAGATCAACCTCCACCCCAGGGTCTCCAGGTCGGAGACCTCCCCAGCCCTGCTGTGGACGGGGAGGGTTGGCGATGCTTCGGCGTTCCGGGTCTGGGGATCCCGGGCGTTTGTCCGCGACTTGTCTGCGGACAAGCTGTCCCCTCGCGCTGCTCCCTGCGTCTTCCTGGGGTTCCCCCCCAACGCCCCTGGGTGGCAGTTCTACCACCCCACCTCTCGCCGTGTTCTGTCCTCCCAGGACGTCACGTTCGACGAGTCGGTACCCTACTACCGCCTCTTCCCCTACCGCACTCCGTCCCTCCCCCCGCCCCTGCTCTTTCTTGTCCCAGGTCCCCCCCCGGTAGACCCCCTCCCCCCTCTGGGTTCTGCCCCTTCAGGTGTGTCCCAGGTAGACGCAGTCGAGCCTGTTGAGGTCACAAGTGACTCTGGTGCTGCTGGGGGTGAGGAGCCTGGGGGTGCTGAGCCTGGGGGTGCTGAGCCTGGGGGTGCTGGGCCTGGAGGTGCCTTGCCCGGGGGTGCTGGGTCTGGGGCTGCTGAGCCTGGAGGCTCTCTGGGTGCTTCGTCTCGCCCGGAGCCACTCTCTCCACAGGAGCTGCGCGAGTGGTTTGCCCGGCGCTGGAGCCGTGCTGCTGGTGCTGGAGGTTCGTCGGCTACTGAGGGTGCTGCTGTCGCGGGTTCCGGAGGTGCTCGTCCTGGGAGTACTGGAGCTGCTGGGCCTGTGGTTTCGACTGGAACTGGTGCTGCTGATGGTGTTGGCGCTGAGGCTACCACTGGCGGTCCAGCTGGCGGTGCTCCTGGTGCTGCGTGAGGTTCTGGGGTTACTGGAGGTGCTGATGGGGGTTCTGGAGCTGCTAGAGGTGCTGCTGGAGGTGCTGTTGGAGCGGGTACTCCTGCTGGGGGTACTGTTCCTGTCCCTTCTGTTTCAGACGTCCCCACGCGGCCCCGACCGTACTTCGTTCCACTCCTGCAGTAGGTTCTTGGTCTTACACCTTCTCCTGGTCCTCCTCCTCCTCCTTTAGAGGGTCCACAGCCTGTCCAGTCACAGTCACAGCTACAGCCTGTCTCCCCTTTGCCTGCTCCTTCTCCCTACACTGGTCCTACTGGAGGTCTCACTGAGCGTCGTGAGCCTGCGTCACGTCCTGCGTCGCCTGTTCGTGCTGCGTGCACTAGTGGTCGCGGTTCGCGTCAGCGTCCTTCTCCTGTCCTTGGCACGCACCGGATGTCTCTGCGTCCGTCCACTGCTCCTCTGCGTGCCCCTTTGCCTTCTCCTCCTGCGTCCTCTCTTCCTGCTCTTGCCGACCCGGAGTCGTACTCTCTTCGTGCTGCCAGTCCTACTGTCACGCGTCTCCTTGCTACTGCCGTCACTGACCCTTCTTTCGAGTCTACTGCTGCGTCTGCCCTTGTCACTGAGCTCGTCGACTTTGCTGCTCGCTGTCGTCTAGACTACGCTGCTAGTCTGGTCGCTGAGTCTGAGTCTGCCTGTCCTCCTTCCGTCGGGGGTGAGTGTGGCCTTGGCACGGACGTCCTTGAGGACAGGCAGGAGGAGTTCCAGTGTTTGGCCGCCGCTTCACCTCATCTCGTGTCCGTACTGCTCACCCCTGAGGGAGACCCGGATGCACTTGACATCCCGACTCCGCGCTCTTACGCGGAGGCGATAGAGGGTCCCTACTCTTCTCAGTGGCAGGCGGCTATGGATGTAAAGATGGCTTCCTGGAAGTCCACAGGCACCTACGTTGTCGCTGTCCCCCCTTCTGGGGCGAACATCGTCAGTGGCATGTGGATTTTCAGGGTGAAGCGGCCGCCAGGTTCTCCGCCTGTCTTCAAGGCACGGTACGTGGCTCGTGGCTTCAGTCAGCGGCAGGGAGTTGACTACTTTCAGACCTTCTCTCCCACCCCAAAGATGACCACTCTTCGGGTGCTACTGCACGTTGCCGCTCACCGTGACTACGAGCTGCACTCCCTCGACTTCAGCACAGCTTTCTTACAGGGCAGCCTACACGAGACGATCTGGCTGCGTCGCCCACCTGGCTTCACTGGGTCGTTCCCTCCTGGTACCCAGTGGAGCCTCCGGCGTCCAGTTTACGGTCTTCGCCAGGCGCCCCGTGAGTGGCACGACACACTGAGGACTACTCTTGCCGCTCTTGGGTTTGCTCCTTCTACTGCCGACCCGTCGCTGTTTCTGTGCACCGACACCTCTCTGCCGCCCTTCTACATCCTCATGTACGTCGACGACTTGGTCTTTGCCACTGCTGACACTGCTGGACTCGCCCACGTGAAGTCCGAGCAGCAGAAGAGACACACGTGCACAGACCTGGGTGAACTGCGCAGCTACCTTGGCTTGCAGATCACCCGGGACAGAGCACGCCACACCATCACCCTGACTCAGTCACACATGGTGCAGCAGGTCCTTCAGCGCTTCGGCTTCACGTACTCCTCGCCTCAGGCCACTCCTCTGCCTACTCGCCACTCGCTCTCAGCTCTGCCTTCGGATGAGTCCGTAGAGTCGAGTGGCCCGTATGCAGAGCTTGTTGGCTGCCTCATGTACCTGATGACCTGCACACGACCTGACCTTGCATACCCTCTTAGCATTCTTGCACGCTATGTTGCTCCTGGGAGACACCGACCAGAGCACATGGCTGCAGCGAAGAGGGTGTTGCGCTACTTGTGCAGTACGTCGGGCATGGGGCTAGTGCTTGGAGGGCGCAGTCCAGTGGTCCTCACTGGGCACGCGGATGCTTCTTGGGCTGACGACCAGGCTACACAGCGGTCGTCACAGGGTTACACTTTCAGTCTTGGTTCTGGCTCTGTTTCGTGGCGGGCTACCCGCTCGTCTTCTGTTCTCGGCTCCAGTTGTGAGGCTGAGATCTACGCCGGGGCTATGGCTGCCCAGGAGCTTCGCTGGCTCACCTACCTGCTGACCGACCTTGGAGAGCCGCCTCGTTCTCCTCCAGTCTTGTACGTAGACAACAAGGCCATGCTGGCCTTGTGTTGAGAGCAGCGACTGGAGCACAGGACAAAGCACATTGCTCTCCGCTACTTTCTTGCGCGTGAGCTGTAGCAACGTGGACAGTTGCGGCTTGTGTATGTGGCCTCTGAGGCCAACACTGCTGATGTCTTCACCAAGGCACTTGCGCCTTGTGATCATCAGCTTTTCCGCACTCAGTTGGGCCTTGTGCCTGTCTTGCCTCACTTGCTCACTTCTTGACCTTGTTTGTACTGTCACATATACAAATACTGTTGCTCTTGCTTGCTTAGCCTCTTCTTTACCTATATATGTGATCTTGCATGTGAACTGGCCTTTTGGCCTTTGAACTTGTGCTCGAAATGTGTGGTGACTTTGTGGTCCACCCTGAGCTTTGTCTTGCTTTGCTTGACTGGTCTTGTGACCCCTTGTTCTCCCCCACTTTGCCTATGGGGGTGTGTCAGAACATCATAGCTTACTTATTTGTGTAGGCTATAGTGGGGTATCCCATAGGGGGTACAACCCAATTAGGGTTTCCTATTTGTACTCATTTTGTTCATAGTCATTTTCATTCTCGTTCTCATTTTCTCAGGGTGTACATAGCGAAATTGTGATCCTTTATCTTGAAGGCTATAGGTGCGTACGGATTTGATATGGTGGTGACAGCGAAGCGAATTGGAACAAGCGCACTTCATCTCGCTACAATTTGTGCTCCCCTCGTTTTCCCTGCAGGGCTAATCGGGTAACCATCCAGGCGCGGGTGCACACGCTGGGTGTGCATACTGAAAATGTGATCCTTTCTCTTGCAGGCAATAGGTGCGTACGGATTTGATATCGTGGTGACAGCGAATTGCAAACACGCGCAATTTATGTCACGTTCGGTCAGGTTGAGATACCGTATTGACCACGTCAAGAAGGCCAATGTGGGCAGGCTGTGCGGAAAGCGAAAGTGAAGTTGTAAGAGCGTGTCTGAAGTGAAGCGTCGAAAATATGTCGATGGATGTCGGTAAATTTCAACCCTCGGATCGAGAGTTCCAACCGTCAGGATTTACCGACATCGGATGTCAACGGATGTCGACTTCACTTTGGACCCGCCCTAACCAACGAACCTCGCCAACGGCCCACTTGACAACCCATACGGGGCTGCAAGGGGGGGCTGGTGCAAACTAGCATCGCATGTTGGGATTTCGCCGGACTAATCACGTAATGTCTAAATATGATTGGTCCGTTTTATGTGCAGGGCATATTAGACATTGCGAAATTTTCGAGTGGGGAATAGTACCCAACGCTTGCGTGGGATGAGACGAGTACGTGAGGGGACTTTCGGGGCTAAATTTCTTGTAGGGTAATATGTTCGGGAAACAAAACACCTCGAAAATCCCTTGGCGTGGCCACTTGAGCAATTATCACTGAATTTGATGGCTACGCGAGCAATTCGGGGACACGTGGGCAAGAGCGAATCACCAAACAAGGCACTGGAGCAATTCTCTCGCGGCTCTCTCACTTGGCTATTCCCTCAAGCAGTCCCACAACGCGCATCCAACACACCCAACTCTCCCACGCACACTCCCCAACACCGTTTTTCAGATCCTATCTATTCTAGACCAGTTCCTCAGCTCCCAACGATGGCGCCCACAGAAGTGGATCAGTTTCCTTTCGAACGCATGTTTGACCTGCAAACCATCCCGGTTTGTCCCGATTCCGGCGACATAGATGCTGCAGACGACATAAACGCCGCGGCCAGCGACGATTGCACTTGTAAACCCGGCGGAAAGAGCGGCGAGAAGCGCGGTGAGGCGAACGCGGCGCGGAAGCTGCTGCTCGCGGCGCTTATGCAAGCTCTCGCGGACTCAGCGGCGGACGACACCGCTACCGCCGCCGCGGACGAGCCGCCTTCGTCGCCGGAATCCCTGGACGACAAAGAGTTCCTCTCATCCGTGGCGCTGGCAGCAGGGTCGCGGAAGCGCAAGGCGGCGGAGATCAGGGAGGTCCCCTCCGCGGATGCGCCTGTCGTGGGCGGAAGCGAGGAAGAGTCTGAGGTGACGCGTCAGCTGCGCCGTGCGATTGCTGCTGTCATCCTCCGCGGCAGCGGGGCCGGCGGACCGTGCCCTGCACCAGCTTCTCCCGACGCTCCCTCGCCTCCTGCGGCTGCGTCGCTGCCAATGGTTACCACTCATGCCCCCAACCCCGTCGGCAGATCGATCGCCCATGGCCCGCTGCCAATGCCTTTTCGCCTGCCCATAGCCAATGGTGCGGCTCCTGCTGCACCTTCCGATGCGCCCGCGTTACTAGCAGCCATGGCCGCGCCAGAAGCACTAGCCTGCATGAATTACTATGACAATTCACATGATGACATGATGGCGGGTTACAGCGGAATTCCCGACTGCGGCAGAGGCACCAATGGGGCGGCGGATCATGATGCGGATGATTGGTTGCCGCGCAATCGCGGGCACAAGGACAGGCAAATGGAAGGTGGGCGCATCAAGGCGCGGAGCATGGCGGAGAGGCAGAAGTGGGAGAGGATCTGTGAGGGGCTGCAGAAGCTGCGGTTGGTGGTGCGCGGGCATGGGGACACGGCCTCCATGCTCGACAAGGCTGTCACGTATGTCGACGCCTTGCAGCGCAGAGTGACTGCACTGGAAACTGCCCTGCTGCTGCACCAGCCGTTGTGCAAACGCCCAGAGTGGCAGAATGGTTGCTCCCTGGCCTCTTCTGGAGGATCTTCTGAGCTTTTGTAAGGGTTATTCCCTTAGGAATTTGGTTACAATAGCATTAGGTTAGCCGACTAATGAAGCTGGATATGTGTCATGTATCGAAGCAATTCCACTGATTTTATAATGTGTATAAGTTACAGAGCATACAAGTGTACATGGATGGAAAAGTGGTGTCCGGAGCCCACCCCCCATGGATAAAAACAGCTGTACATGAAAATGCGGTGCGGTGGAAAAACCCCCCCATGCCCTCCCCAAGGCCCCCCTACCCCCCCAATCCTCCTCACAGCCCCTCACACCCAGAATAGAGGATGCAAGAGTTGGAGTTGGACAGTTTTGTGGTATATTTCAACATTTCGACCAATCAAACCCACTGGTGTGAAAACGTGGGAGTGGAGGCTTCATGACCAGGTGATGTGGGAGAGAGGTTGGTCCAAAGAAAAGGACAGACTGAGGGAGAAACACACAAAAATCGCGCGCCAGCAAGGGGTCGAACCTTGGACCTCTCGCTTAGGAAGCGAACACTCTATCCACTGAGTTACAGGCGCTGGATATGTTGTTGATTTGTAAATAATTAACTAAATAACAACAATAATGTCATATTTGCGAACAAGTTTTGCCTGATAAAGCTATTTTCGCTTTCCCTTTCCAGGCGAGTCATTTCTCCCTCTCTATTGGCCGAGACAGTTCGCTCGATGGAGTTCGTGTCGCCGGAGCAGCTGCGGCTCGACGGCCGACGACCAAAAGAGGTAACCGTTGGACCGCCCCACGTGTCGCAGAAATGTGCGCTTTGAAATTTCTCCAGACGCGCCGCCCATCGGACGACCCGTCCGTTCGACTCGTGCATTGCCCCACCTAGGTGCGGTGTCGAACCGCGTCGCTATCCAGTAGTACGCTTAGGTTTTGATCGAGTGTAGACCCTCCACACGCTACTTTCCTGTTCCGATGCCTCACAAGCGCGCGCCAGCCGTTTTGATTGTTATTGAGTCGCCGCCACAACCCAGCGCGTGCTCTCCTGTTCAAACGACCTCCAAGCCAGCGCCAGCCCGTGTGTTGTCCTGGGCGCGTCCGCCTTTCCCCTTCTCCATCCCTCCTTTCTCTGATAATCCTCCCCTCCCCTTCTACTCTTCGCTCCCCTCGCATTGCGCGCTCTCCCCTCTCCTCGCCTCCTTTCCCCTCCTTTCGCCCGCCTCCCCTGTGCGCGTGCAGCTACGGCAGCTCAAGTGCGAGCTGGGCGTGCTGCGCTCTGCTGATGGGTGGGTGACATGCTGCTCTCTTCGTGCTTTCCCCCCACTTGCCGCTCCCGCCGCCGCATGCGTGCTTGTCTACCCGCCCCATGCTTGCCTGCCCGCCCCATGCATCTCCGCCCGCCCCATGCATCTCCGCCCGCCCCATGCATCTCCGCCCGCCCCATGCATCTCCGCCCGCCCCATGCATCTCCGCCCGCCCCATGCATCTCCGCCCGCCCCATGCATCTCCGCCCGCCCCATGCATCTCCGCCCGCCCCATGCTTGTTGCACTCCCTCTTTCGTTTCCTGCTCACCTTTGCCACCTGCAATATTCCCTCCACTCCCTCGTTGCTGCCGCAACTTTTCCTCTCCATCAGTTCTCCCCACGCTCCCGCTCCCGTTTTCCTCCCTCCGCCCCCCCCCCGTTCCCCCCTCCCCCCGTTCCCCCCTCCCCCCGTTCCCCCCTCCCCGTTGTGGCCCTTCCCACCCCTCCACCTCGCCCCCCTCCTCTTTATCCTCCCACGTGCGCCCATCAGCTCAGCGTCATTCGAGATGGGCAACACCAAGGTGCTCGCGGTCGTGTACGGGCCTCGTGAGGTGAGAAGAACTGCTTTTTGAGTCGACTAAGTATTTCACACCAAATCAGCGTCCTTTGAGATGGGCAACACTAAGGTCCTGGCAGTCGTGTACGGTCCGTGCGAGGCGAGGGTTCAGGATTCGGGGTTTGGGGTTCAGGGTTTGAGGCTGGGGCTCAGAGTTTTCGGGGTTCAGAGTTATTGGGGTTCAGAGGGGGTTTTGGGGTTTTCTGGGGGCTTTGGGGGGGTTGGGTTTCAGAGCTTAGGATTCAAGGTTTGTAGTTTACGGTTCAGAGTTAGGTTGGGGAGTCAGGTTTGTGTGTTTGGGGTAGTTTCAGGTTCAGGGTTTGGGGTTCAAGTTTCGGTGTGCAGGGTTAGGGTTTGGAATATGCGGTTCAGGTTTTGGGATTTTTTTTTCCGGTGAAGAATGCTTTGTGGCTGCGAGAATCATGTCGGTTTGCTGCTAGTTACGTGGTGGGAAACATTGGTGCTGGACGAATGTGGTGGCTGGCAGTTAGGTGGAACGGACGTGAGTGGTCTAGAAGAAAGAGGTGCAAGGAAGGGGTGCGCTTTGAGATGGTCATGATCAGGAATGAATGTTATTACACTGCGTTGTATAGAGTCTCAAACTGAGAAAAGGAAAGATATGAAGGGCATTGGAGTATTTTGTTCGCTCTGGGGGTGTGCAGATAATTGAATGAAAGCTGTATGTGGTGGCAAACCGCACAGGAAGTGCGAGCATTGCTGTTGGATCAATGCGCAGGAGCTATTACTGCTTGTACCCTGCCTTGATCATCACCTCCTTCCTGGCCCTGTCCCCTTTCCACCTTCTCTTGCTTCTCACACTTCCGAGCCGAACGGACGCCCTGCCCTTCCATGGCAGGGCGGGCGTTGGAGCGCTGTGTTTGAGTATGGCTGCAGCTGCTGCGACCCCTCGCCTTGTCTTGTTTCACCTTCCTCCCCCTCCGCCCCTCTGTCCCGTCCCATACCTCCCAGGTAACCAACCGGGCGGATGCCCTCCCTGACAGGGCAGTGGTGCGCTGTGAGTACGGCATGGCTTCGTTCAGCACAGGGGAGCGACGACGACGGGGGAAGATGGACCGGTGTGTGTGGGGTGTGGCGTGGGGTGTGTAGGTGCTGCATAGCATGAGCGGCGTGAGTACGGCATGGGGTGTGGCATGGGTTGTGTTGGTCTGGCATGCGCTGTGAGTATGGCATGGCGGCCTTCAGCATGCAGGAGAGACGGCGACGGGGAAAGATGGACTGGTGGGTGTCTGGTGTGGCATGGAATGCGTGTGGGGTCGCATGCGGTGTGAGTATGGCATGGTGGCATTCGGCACGGAGGAGTGGCAGTGAGGGAAAATGGACCGTTAGGCATGGGGTATGAATGGGTATGGCATGGATGTGATTGGCTATGGCATGAGGTGCATGTGGCTGTATGGGCATGTGGCTGTATGGGCATGTTGCTGTATGGGCATGTGGCTTTATGGGCATGTGGCTGTATGGGCATGTGGCTGTATGGGCATGTGGCTGTATGGGCATGTGGCTTTATGGGCATGTGGCTGTATGGGCATGTGGCTGTATGGGCATGTGGCTGTATGGGCATGTGGCTTTATGGAACTGCTCATTACCTCGCAAGACAAGGTACCCCTATGTGCAACTCATTTGTCTCTCTGTGTGTGCATGTATGTACTATGTGTATGTATGTCTGCGCGTGTGTGTTGTGAGTTCTCTGTACATGTGAGTGTATTTGCGCGACTGGGAGTGGGTGTGGCTGTGACTCGGTGTGACTCTGACTGGACTGGGTGTGACTGTGCGCCCATGTGACTGTATCAGGAGGTCAGTGGAAATCTCGCTAGTCATTCGCCAAACACTAGAAGCAGCCATCATGCTCGAGCTCCTACCGCGCACACAGGTGATAAGCGGTGATGTGCGGTGACAAGAGGTTGTCTCCGGCTCGCAGGTGACATGACCTGCTGATTCACACACCAGGGAAGCATGGGTCTAAGGTGGTAGGGTTCTGGTTTTTCACATGACAATAAGTTTCTCGATGAGGCCGGATGCCCTCTTCTCGCCTTCCTGATCCTGCTTTTCACCCGCCATCACCCCTTCTCATTCCACTCTGATCCATACCTCTTGTTGCGCATTTCAGATAGACATTTTTGTTCAAGTCTTGCAAGCTGATGGCGGTAAGACATGGCTTTCAGGCATGGTGGGTGGGATGGGATGGATGCGTCACCCCCTTCACCCCCTTCACTTCCTTCCATCCCTCCCCCACCTCCATCATTCTCTGTCCATCCCGTTTGTGTCAAATTGAAATCCTTCTCCGTTAAAGGGTCATGAGTGTCGATGGCATCTTTGATGCTCCGTGTGAAATTTTGGAGCTCTGGACTTGCTTCCTTCACGCAAGCGAATGGCTTTCGGCTTTGTGTGCTGTGCATCGTGTATTTTGGTCTCATTATGGCCTCATTCCATTAAGATCACCTTCGTGATTTTTTCCCAAGCGCAGCCTGTGACGACCTTTTTTTTTTTTTTTTTTTTTTACCGACTTTAAAAATCGACACAGAATTCGACTCATGTTCTTCCATTCCTCACGATCTGACGAGCCTGTTCACAAGCTACGGCTGAACAAAGCTTGGAAAGCATGCCAACCTCCATTCCTTTCCGCCAATCCTACCTATCCTGTCTCACGGATTCTCAGCTGACCGTTGCCACATACACACACCCCTCCACATCCATCCCCATTAAATACCACTCTCCTTCACGTAACTTGCTCCCCTACCACTCCTCGCCAGGCACTCGCTCCGCGTGCATCAATGCAGCGACACTCGCGCTGTGCCATGCGGGTATCCCAATGCGAGACCTGGTTACCAGCTGCGCCTCTGGTTACCTCAATGCCACGCCGCTGCTAGGTGAGTGCTGACTTTTCAGGCGCCTAAAGAAATGCGACACCTGGTTACCAGCTGCGTGCGTCTCTAATAACCTTTGCGCCGCACCGTTGTTAGTTGAGAGAATACCACTGGACTGCCACGTGGCAGCTTACGCGCATATGGTTACCAGCAAGGCACTTGGTGGCTGTGTCACTGCCAGCAAGTCCCTGACCTTATGGGCGGGCGGCTGAGATCAGCACCTTGTTGGTAAGCTTTGGTTTGGTGTCCCCTCTTCCACCGCTGCCACCACTGCTGTCGCTTCTTAGCAATGTATCAGCCAGGTTTTGCATTGCATCGCACTGCGCTTCTCGTCCTCTGTTGCTCCCTCTCGCCTCTCCCTTTTCACCTCGCACCTCTCACCCCTCCCCATGCAAACCGGAACTCTGCTGTGGAGGATAGTGGTGGTTACCCAGGCGTGACACTCTCTGCATCTGCCTTCACACCCACGCTCCGAACCTGGTGTCTCATACATCTTATGCCTTACCTCTCACATCCCCCGCTCTCCCCGCTCTCTCCGCTCTCCTCTCTCTTCTCTCCTCTCTCCTCTCTCCGCTCTCCTCTCTCCTCTACCGTTCCGCTCCCCTCTCCTCACCCCTCTCTCCTCTCTCCTCTCTTTTCTCTCCTCTCCCCCCCCCCCCCCCCCCCCCCCCTTCCCCGCCCATGTGCCAGACCTGAACTATGTGGAGGACAGTGGGGGCGGCCCAGACGTCACAGTGGGCTACTTGCCGTCATTCGATAAGATCTCACTGCTGCAGGTGGGGCTGCTTGCATCACACTCATGGTTGCATGAGTCACAATTGGTAGGCACTCACGGGTGCAAGACCAAGGAGTTTTTAGACGTCTCAAAACGCTCTCCACGCCCTCCTCACACTCTCCTCGCCCTCCTCACACCCTCCACGCCCTCCTCACTCTCTAATCGCCCTACTCACTCTCCCCTCGCCCTCCTCACTCTCTACTCGCCCTACTCACTCTCTCCTCCCCCGCCTCACTCTCTCCACGCCCTCCTCACTCTCTCCTCGCCCTCCTCACTCTCTCCTCGCCCTCCTCACTCTCCCCTCGCCCTCCTCACTCTCTCCACGCCCTCCTCACTCTTCCCTCGCCCTCCTCACACTCTCCTCGCCCTCCTCACTCTCTCCTCGCCCTCCTCACTCTCTCCACGCCCTCCTCACTCTCTCCACGCCCTCCTCACTCTCTCCTCGCCCTCCTCACTCTCTCCTCGCCCCTCCTCACTCTCTCCTCGCCCTCCTCACTCTCTCCTCGCCCTCCTCACTCTCTGCTTGCCCTCCTCACTCTCTTCTCGCCCTCCTCACTCTCTGCTCGCCCTCCTCACTCTCTTCTCGCCCTCCTCACTCTCTGCTCGCCCTCCTCACTCTCTCCTCGCCCTCCTCACTCTCTGCTCGCCCTCCTCACTCTCTTCTCGCCCTCCTCACTCTCTGCTCGCCCTCCTCACTCTCTTCTCGCCCTCCTCACTCTCTACTCGCACTCCTCGCTCTCTGCTAGCAATGGACACGTTTGAAGAGGTGGTGACGCTGCCTGCTGCATGCACGCTCCTGTCGCCCGTGACTCGCTGCTTTGAGCTCTGCAGCAGCCATGACTCTTTGTGTCTGCCCTGCCACCAATGCCCCGCGCTGCCACAGATGAATGCGATGCTACCAACGAACACAGTGGAGGAGTTGGTGAAGCATAACCTTGCTTCTATCTTCTCTCATGCCCCGCTGCATCTGCCACGTGTGCCACAGATGGACGCCAAGCTCCCAATGGACACGTTTGAGGAGGTGGTGAAGCTCCCTTGTGCATAACCCCCTGCTTCTCCACCCTTTCTCATGCCCTGCTGCATCTACCACAGATGGACGCCAAGCTCCCAATGGACACATTTGAGGAGGTGGTGAAGCTGGCAGTCACGGGATGCAAGGCCATCGCGCACCGCATGAGACAGGTGAGGTTTCGAGGCAAAGAGGATGTTGTTGGGAGAGTGGAGAGGACGAGGGAGTAAATTCCAGAACCACCGGTCTTTTCTGTGACATTTTGCAAGAAAGATGCGCTGGTTTGCCTTTCTCTGTTCCGTCGAGTCGCATGTGTGTGGTTCAGGTACTGTTGGAGCATACAGAGCGGTTAGCACTTGCACGTGGAGCAATGCAACTGTAGATGGGTTAAAATTAGGTGTGTGACAAGAGAAACACACCATGAACTTATTTTTCTTCTTTTACCGTTGTTCATTAGTGCTTATTTTTTTGCTGTAGAAAGTCCTTTCGTCCTTGCAAGGCTTCAATACAACGGCCTGACCGATTCTCTATCTCACCCGTTCCACTGAAGCCTTTTCAGCATACGGTTCAGCGTTGAAAAAACAGTACGGTGCTATAATTACATGGATATACATTTGGTTTGGAAGTATGGAACATCTAGACATGTGTAAAGATACAGTAATAAATGCACTGGCACCCATTCTACAGCATTGCTCAGCTTCTCTGCACTTTATGAAACTCCTGAATGAGGATGGAACAGAGGGAGGCAAGGCACACACGGAGGAGAGAGCAGTTGGTGAGGGATATAGATTCATGCCTGCATGCATGGGCATGCAACATCTGTACGTGTTGATGTGTGCAAACGTGATTGCATGTGCATGCTGTACACATGTGTGCGTGCATGACAAGGGCAAGGGATGGAAATCCCATATGTGCCACTCACCCCGCTCCTGTTCAAACCCATGCACCCAGCCCTAAGAGCAGTGCACCGCACGCCTTGGACTTACATATGCGTTCGCATCTCAGCATTGGCCACATCACTTTCTATTCTCCACTTGCAGGCAAGGAGGGCGATACCTCGGCGAATCCCCTCATTTCGCTTAGGGTTTGCAGGAAGAGGAAGGTGGTGGGGAGGTGGTACAAAGGTGGAAGTAGGGCGTACTTAGTCCCTCTCTCATTGCTCCCCACTTTCACCTCGCCGGAGGCTTTCGAGTCGACCCAAATTTATCGCCTCCAATATTCTCAAGACACTACTGACCACTCCAATATTCTCAACACACTACTGACCACTCCAATATTCTCAAGACACTACTGACCACTCCAATATTCTCAACACACTACTGACCACTCCAATATTCTCAAGACACTACTGACCACTCCAATATTCTCAAGACACTACTGACCACTCCAATATTCTCAACACACTACTGACCACTCCAATATTCTCAAGACACTACTGACCACTCCAATATTCTCAACACACTACTGACCACTCCAATATTCTCAAGACACTACTGACCACTCCAATATTCTCAACACACTACTGACCACTCCAATATTCTCAACACACTACTGACCACTCCAATATTCTCAACACACTACTGACCACTCCAATATTCTCAACACACTACTGACCACTCCAATATTCTCAACACACTACTGACCACTCCAATATTCTCAACACACTACTGACCACTCCAATATTCTCAACACACTACTGACCACTCCAATATTCTCAACACACTACTGACCACTCCAATATTCTCAACACACTACTGACCACTCCAATATTCTCAACACACTACTGACCACTCCAATATTCTCAACACACTACTGACCACTCCAATATTCTCAACACACTACTGACCACTCCAATATTCTCAACACACTACTGACCACTCCAATATTCTCAACACACTACTGACCACTCCAATATTCTCAACACACTACTGACCACTCCAATATTCTCAACACACTACTGACCACTCCAATATTCTCAACACACTACTGACCACTCCAATATTCTCAACACACTACTGACCACTCCAATATTCTCAACACACTACTGACCACTCCAATATTCTCAACACACTACTGACCACTCCAATATTCTCAACACACTACTGACCACTCCAATATTCTCAACACACTACTGACCACTCCAATATTCTCAACACACTACTGACCACTCCAATATTCTCAACACACTACTGACCACTCCAATATTCTCAACACACTACTGACCACTCCAATATTCTCAACACACTACTGACCACTCCAATACTGACCACTCCAATATTCTCAACACACTACTGACCACTCCAATATTCTCAACACACTACTGACCACTCCAATATTCTCAACACACTACTGACCACTCCAATATTCTCAACACACTACTGACCACTCCAATATTCTCAACACACTACTGACCACTCCAATATTCTCAACACACTACTGACCACTCCAATATTCTCAACACACTACTGACCACTCCAATATTCTCAACACACTACTGACCACTCCAATATTCTCAACACACTACTGACCACTCCAATATTCTCAACACACTACTGACCACTCCAATATTCTCAACACACTACTGACCACTCCAATATTCTCAACACACTACTGACCACTCCAATATTCTCAACACACTACTGACCACTCCAATATTCTCAACACACTACTGACCACTCCAATATTCTCAACACACTACTGACCACTCCAATATTCTCAACACACTACTGACCACTCCAATATTCTCAACACACTACTGACCACTCCAATATTCTCAACACACTACTGACCACTCCAATATTCTCAACACACTACTGACCACTCCAATATTCTCAACACACTACTGACCACTCCAATATTCTCAACACACTACTGACCACTCCAATATTCTCAACACACTACTGACCACTCCAATATTCTCAACACACTACTGACCACTCAAATATTCTCAACACACTACTGACCACTCCAATATTCTCAACACACTATTGACCACTCCAATATTCTCAACACACTACTGACCACTCCAATATTCTCAACACACTACTGACCACCCTAAACCCTAGACCACCCCTCACCTGGTACACATCACTATCGCCATGTGGGGATCACACGCGGTTGAGTAGGGCACACACGCCAGCAAGGCACAAGGGGGCCATCACGAGGGAGGTGAGGGAAGGTGGGGCGAGGTGGAAATACCCCTGCTAGCCCTCTGGCCACTCTTCACCCCTCACCTCACCTGGTACTGACAGCTGTCTTGTGCGGATGACAAGGTTCAGAAGAGCGCAGATGCCAGCAAGGCACACGAGGGCCATGACAAGGAACGTCCGGCGGAAGAAGTCAGGCCTATGCTCGCTCCTCTCCCCCAACCCCCACCCCTCAACCCTCACCCCTCACTCGCCACCCCTCACTCGCCACCCCTCACTCGCCACCCCTCACTCGCCACCCCTCACTCGCCACCCCTCACCTGGTACAGCCGTCTCGTGCGAGCCACCAGGTTGAGAAGAGCACATATTCCAGCGACGCACACGAGTGCCATCACGAGGAAGGTGAGGCGGAAGCAGTCTGGGCCCATGCACCGGTGGGGCAGCTCTGATGCCTCCAGCTGTAGCTGTGCCTGTGCTGCCCCCTGTTGACTCGCTGCATCTGCCTCAGCTCCCCAGTTTGCAATGGTGGCGGTTGTGGGTGGAGAGAGGGAGGGAGAGGCGGACGAGGAGAGGCCTTGCAGGTGGAGCAAGGCTGATCGTTGGATCGCAGATTGACGGTCGTAGATGTAGCCAGCGAGCTTGACCGAGAGGCAGTAGGAGCCGACTGTGGATGATATGCTGAGAGGAGAAGAAGAGAAAGAGGCGAGGAAGGCGATGGGAAGCAGGGAAAGAGGGGCAGGGGGGGAATGGAGGGAAGGTGGGGGAATGGGGGAAGGAGGGTAAGGGTGGCAAGGAGGGGGAGGAGGGTGAGGACGGGACAAATGCAAACAAACTGGAATGGCACCGTGGAATGGGCAATGAAAAAACGATTTCAGAAACAAAGAGTGGGTTTCAACTGAGACTGCATGTTCACCTGACACGGTGACTTCACCTGAGTGTGTGGGATTCACCTGAGAGTGCATATTCACCTGAGGGTGCATATTCACCTGAGGGTGCATATTCACCTGAGTGTATTGTACAATGCTCCGAAGTGTTTCAGCCCAAAGAGCTCAGACGCAGTGGTGACCATGAGAGTCCAGTGCGCCCCATGTGCCGCCCCCACCAGCGCTGCTGCCGGGTAGAGCAGCAGAGGGTCTGCGGGTGGCGAGACAGGGGTTTAGGGTTTAGGGTTTAGGGCCACACATAGGACAGAGACAGGGGCCACACATAGGACAGAGGCAGGGGCCACACATAGGACAGAGGCAGAGGCAGGGGCCACACATAGGACCCGGCTGGCGCTGGTTGGGCGGTCGCGGGGCAATATTCACGCAGGAAGGATGCCGCACTGGTGTAGTGGAAAGGTGGTATCCAGCAGCATCCAATGCCCCGTGTGCCAGCCCACCATTGCTGCTGAGTGAGTACGCAAGCGGAGGTTGGGCAGGTGGAGGTACGGGGGCAAGGAAACTGTCATGAACTGTCATGTCCGCTGGGGTGTGTATTGGGTGGTTCGGGAATAGCTAGGGGTTGGAAATGAACAGGGCTAAGGAACGGGAGCAGTAGGGTGCGTGTGCATATGGTTGACACTTGTGTCGAGGGCGCTTGTGCACATACCCCATCCCATGGAGGGTTGCAGCAGGCACACCCAACTTCTACACAGAAGCACAGCACCTAAGCGTTGCACCTATAGAAGCCTGCAGCAGCACCCTTGACAGAAGCACAGCACTTGAAGTTGCGCCTGCTAGAAAGTCATTTTGAGTCGACTCAAAAGACCACTTATTTGAAGTGGCGCATGGTAGAAAGTCATCAGCTCACCTCTGATGCTGAAGATGAGGTGGGCACCCCATGCTGCCTGCAGAAGCACTGACCACACAGCACTGACCACACAGCACTGACCACACAGCACTGACCACACAGCACTGACCACACAGCACTGACCACACAGCACTGACCACACAGCACTGACCACACAGCACTGACCACACAGCACTGACCACACAGCACTGACCACACAGCACTGACCACACAGCACTGACCACACAGCACTGACCACACAGCACTGACCACACAGCACTGACCACACAGCACTGACCACACAGCACTGACCACACAGCACTGACCACACAGCACTGACCACACAGCACTGACCACACAGCACTGACCACACAGCACTGACCACACAGCACTGACCACACAGCACTGACCACACAGCACTGACCACACAGCACTGACCACACAGCACTGACCACACAGCACTGACCACACAGCACTGACCACACAGCACTGACCACACAGCACTGACCACACAGCACTGACCACACAGCACTGACCACACAGCACTGACCACACAGCACTGACCACACAGCACTGACCACACAGCACTGACCACACAGCACTGACCACACAGCACTGACCACACAGCACTGACCACACAGCACTGACCACACAGCACTGACCACACAGCACTGACCACACAGCACTGACCACACAGCACTGACCACACAGCACTGACCACACAGCACTGACCACACAGCACTGACCACACAGCACTGACCACACAGCACTGACCACACAGCACTGACCACACAGCACTGACCACACAGCACTGACCACACAGCACTGCTAACACCTTACCGTTCCTCGGCCACCGAAGGCCACTTCACTTCAAAGCATGCCATGCCACTCACCCCCAATGCTGAACAGCAGGTGCGCGCACCCCATCGTGGCCTGCACGAGCAGCATGCAGAGGGGCCGCGGCGTGCACCAGCGCTTTAAACACTGCTCCGACACGTAGCTGGGTGAAAGGGGGGGGAGGGATGAGGGTGGTAAGGTGGGGGGGAAGGTAGGGCGGAAGAGGAGGGAGTTGTTTTAGTGATTTGAACACCACCTCCCTAGCAGCATGCAGAGAGGGCGAGGTGTGCTCCAGCGCTTTAAGCACTGCTCCTACACGTACCTGGGGGGAAGCGGGGCGCATGTGACACAAGGGTAGGGAGAGAGGTAAAGGGAGATGGAGTGGAGAGGTGTTGGGGAATGGAATGAGATGGTGTGTTTGTAGGGTTTCAGGCATTGCTCGATCAGGCATGCAGGTGGGACTGAAGAGACTGCATAGACCAAAGGAATTACAAGACACACGATATGGAAGACATGAAACACATGCACAGATATACAAGTTTTGGAAACAATGTACCTACCCTGCCGCCATCCTTCCTAAAAAGTTCCAGATGCTGACAAGAGCAACCAGGGCGCCCACACTCGCAGAGCCCAGGGACTCCGCCACCTGATGGGGGAGAAGGGAGGAAGGGGAGGAAGGGGGGGTTGGTTGCGTCTCATTTGACTTGTGGGCTGCATGCCACACCTCACCAGCACGCTGCATGCCACACCTCACCGGCACTGGAGTGCTGGTGAGGCATGGCGCAATTCGATCATTTTGGCCTCCGTGACTTGATTATAATGCCCTGTCCTTCCACTGTCCCACTAGAGCGTGAGACATCCCACTAGAGCGAGAGACATCCCACTAGAGCGAGAGACATCCCACTAGAGCGAGAGACATCCCACTAGAGCGAGAGACATCCCACTAGAGCGAGAGACATCCCCCTTACCCCACGCCCCTCATTCCCCACCCACCTGTACCCCCCTCCCATCCCATCTGACCCCTCCCCTCTTCCCTCCTTCACTGCGCCAGGTTGCTGATGGCAGTGAGCCCGGGTCCTGTGCTGCACCCCATGCCTCCCATCGTTCCCTCCCCCCACACCCCTCACTATCTCCCTCTTCCGCTCCTTTCCTTGCCCCCGAACCCATCCCCACACTTACCTGCGCCAGGTTGTTGATGGCAGTGAGCCCTGACCCCGTGCCACAGCCCATGGCAAAGAACAGCAGCCTGGTTGCGACGAGTGGGAAGGGGGAAGAGCGGTTGAGAGAGGGGGAGGGAAGGAAGCATGGAGGAACTTTTGAGGTGCCTCAGAAGGAAGAGCAACGCCTCATCTCATCGGGCCCCGTGCCACAGCCCATAACGAAGAACAGCAGCCTACCGGGCGGAGCAAGCGGAGGCGGGAACAGTGGTTGGGAGGTGGAGAAGGGGTTTGAGATGGATAGGAGGAAAGGGGCTGGAGGAGAACAATCAAGACGATGAAGACCAAGAGCAAGGGATAACGAGGGAAGGACACAGTGAGGGAGGAGGAATGGCTCGTTGGTTCATCCGCTTGTTCTAGACCCAATGCGCGCCTACAGCCTACAGCCGTCAGCCGTCAGCTGGTACAAGTTCAGAATTCCCCTATCACCCCTGCCACCCATCCTCCCCTCCCCCCCTCTTCCATTCCTCCCCTCCCCCCCTTCCCCCACTCCCCTGCTCCCCCGCTCCCCTTCTCCCCCGCTATCCTGCTCCCCAATCCACCCCTCCCCTCCCCTCCCTCCACCCCTCCCCCCCCCCCCTCCCCTCCTCCCCCCATTCCCCCCCCGCCCTTCCCTCTTCCCCTCCTCCTCTCCTCCCCGCCTCCCCTCCCTTCCTCCCCTCCTCCCCGCGCCCATATGACATAATCGAGTGAGCATCCACTTAACACATGCCTCAGCGCCGGGTACCACAGAAGCACATCCTGCCTGTCAGCACAAGCATGAGGTGAGGTGCATGCCCTCCCACATGAAGCTTGTGTCGCTGATGGGGATTTTCAAAAGCTAAAAAGAGCAACTGCAACGCTGCTCTCCTCGCCCCTCCCACGCAGCCCAGCTCGCTTCCTCCCACACTGCTCTCCTCACCGAGTCGCTCGGGCCCATTCAAAGACTGAATCTGAGGCGCCTCCAAAACAGTCTCACCAGTACTCGGGAGTGACAGCAGCCTGCAGCAGGGTGTGATCCATGCCCACACGAAGAGCACTCACTCGATGTCCCCTTCCCACCTCCAGCACTCCCCCACCACCGCTGCTCCTACTCTCACCCTCCATGCTCTTCCCATCCCTCCCGCCCTCCCCACACCCACCAATGCCACTGTCAGTCCCCCCCACACCACCTGCCAAGGCACTTCCCACCGCGCTGCTGCTGCCTGCCTGCCCCAAGCCTCCTCCCCCGCGCTCCCTTGGGCTACCCACTCTCTCACTCGCCCACCCTGCACTCCTGTCGGAAGCAGGTGTGCTTGTATCGAATGTATGCGGCATGTCAGAACCAGCCCGCTCATTCGCACGCCCCGCACCGCTGTGGGAGGCAGGTGTGCTTGTAAAGGAGGTGGCCTTAAGGGGGCTCCCTACAGTGTCACTGAACGACTCACAGCTGCCCTTTCTGCTCATTACACCCCCTCCACCGCCTCCGCCTCCGCCGCTGCTGCTGTTGCCGAGCCTACTGCCATTGCTGCTGCTGTCAGGGACAGTGAGAAGAGGGTACGACTCGCCTCCAGTGGTGTCGTTGTCATCAGAGAGTGAGGAATGGTCTGTACGTGTGGTAGACGGCTTGAAGGTAAAGGAGGAGGTGGCAGAGGAGAGTTGGTCGTGGTACTCGTGTTGCGAATGGAGAGGTAGCTTGGAGGCCATGGGGCTCCCTGCTTTGACCCACTAGATAAGGATGCCAGTGGGAGGGTGATGAGAGTGGGAGGGGAAACGGGCGGGTGGAGACGAAGTGAGGAGTCGGAAAGGAGAGTCTGGAAGGGAAGAAAACGGGTGAGAGGAGATGGAAAGTAATGGAGATTCTGATGGAGGGCTTGGTGATGAAAGGGAGAGGGAGAGGGAGAGGGAGAGATGGAAAGAAAGGGGCATGACTGCTGGAAAGAAAGGCAACAGAGCTTCCAGCTGACATATAAAAGGTTACCTTCTTTGATTCGGGCCACTGCCTAAATCTCCAATAAACCCAGCTTATTATTTAAACAGATCGAACGCCGTTGCATGTTCAGACCTTCTGTAATCGCTTCTACACCTTTTTTCAAAACAACCAACTATGCAGTTTCCACCTTGGTTAACTCCAACCCCCCAAGAATTGGTCCATGTTTGGAATAGAAAATGCGAAACTTTTGAGAGGAGAATGGTCCGTCGGGGGGGATGGAGGGAAGTCAAACGGCATCTTAACACGAAATGGAGAAGGGTGTACAGATGAGGGAAGGGGGAGCGGGAGTAGCAGCATACTTTTATTGAGGCGCCTCAAAATTCTTAACAACAAATGGAGAAGGCTGTACAGATGAGGGGAGGGGAACAGCATGCAGCAGCATACCGGGAGGGAGATGGGGAGGGCGAGCAGCAGCACCATTCCAGCCATGGAAACAAGGCGATAGGGGCGAGAGAGGGATAGGGTCTCCTGGGTTATGCGTGGGTGGGGCAAGGGGAGGGAATGGTTGGGACATAGGGTGGGGCATGGGTATGAGAAACAATATACGGAACACGGCATCAATATGAAAGATGTATGTCAGAATGGAAGCTGGTACGAGCATGAGGCAGGGCGTGAGGCAGAGGATAAGGTAGAGCATGAGGCAGAGCATGAGGCAGAGCATGAGGCAGAGCATGAGGCAGAGCATGAGGCAGAGCATGAGGCAGAGCATGAGGCAGAGCATGAGGCAGAGCATGAGGCAGAGCATGAGGCAGAGCATGAGGCAGAGCATGAGGCAGAGCATGAGGCAGAGCATGAGGCAGAGCATGAGGCAGAGCATGAGGCAGAGCATGAGGCAGAGCATGAGGCAGAGCAAGGGTTTTACGGCTCTACAGCACACCTGCAGCGTCATTGCGAGCATGAGGTATAGCGCAACTCCCATCACCTGCAGCAGAGCCAAGGGACCCATGCCACGGCTTACGGCCCTACAGCGTATGTACCTGCAGCGTCATTGCGAGCATGAGGTAGAGCGCTAGGCCCACTCCCACCACCTGCACGGGGAAGGGTCCAGGGCCACGTTCACATGAGAGACAGAGGTACAGAGGTTGTAGGCTGGCAAGCTCAAGCATGTGTTTTTTTTTTATTCTTAAAAAACACACGCTCGGAGGTACAGAGGTTGTAGGCGGGCAAGCTCAGTTGCGAGAAAAGGGCGAGCTAAGGAAGGGAGAGCAGGGTGCGAGTGGAGGGGGGAGCGGCACGCATGGAAGAAGCACAAGGGGGGAGCGGCATGCATGGAAGAAGCACAAGGGGGGAGCGGCACGCATGGAAGAAGCACAAGGGGGGAGCGGCACGCATGGAAGAAGCACAAGGGGGGAGCGGCACGCATGGAAGAAGCACAAGGGGGGAGCGGCACGCATGGAAGAAGCACAAGGGGGGAGCGGCACGGCACGCATGGAAGAAGCACATGAGGGCATTGATGGTGGCACCGTGGCGCGTGCGTCTCCCGGCAGCAGCCAGCCCGCAGACGAGGCGAGGGTCAACTGGTCAGCAGCACTAGCAACGCACACAGACCGGCAATCAGAGAAGCAGCAAGGCACAGAGGGGCACGGGGGCAACACACGCACATTGAGGAAGCGAAACCGGGTGTTGTCCCCGGTGCCTCTCCTTGCAGCAGTGAGAAGGCGTGCGTCCGTGGGGGGAATGACATGACAGGCAGGTGCAACACATATAGAGGAAGCAGAGCGGCGGAAAGCACAGAGGAAAGGGGCCTACGCACGTAGAGGAAGCGAAACCGGGTGTTGTCCCCGGTGCCTCTCCTTGCAGCAGCGAACAGGTGAGGGTTCATGGGGCGAATGACTGCCATTGCCAGCAGCGCCACCAGTGGGGGATTGGTGAAGCAACGAGGGCGGCAAGACACAGAGGAAAGAGGGGTACATACGTAGAGGAAGCGAAAGCGGCTGTTGTCACCGGTGTCTCTCTTTGCAGCGGCGAGCAGGTGAGGGTTCATGGGGCGAATGACTGCCATCGCCAGCAGCGCCACTAGTGGCGGCAGCAGCGCACAGAGCAGCAGAAAGGGCGCCGTGTGAGGTGCGTAGAGAGCGGAGTAGAGCTGGGGAAGGAGAGGTCAAGGAGGGGGAAGGAGAGGTCAAGGAGGGGGAAGAGGGGAATGGGAGTTGTAGTGTGTGCGTATACAGGGAGGGGTTGGGGTGGCCGGCTGGGAGAGGAAAGCACGGAGGGAGAGGAAAGCACGGAGGGAGATCGGGATGACGAGGGACGGACGAGAGGCAGCAACGCAAGGCACAGCCACCACCCGGCACAGCCAACACCCGGCACAGCCAACACCCGGCACAGCCAACACCCGGCACAGCCACCACCCGGCACAGCCAACACCCGGCACAGCCAACACCCGGCACAGCCAACACCCGGCACAGCCAACACCCGGCACAGCCAACACCCGGCACAGCCAACACCCGGCACAGCCAACACCCGGCACAGCCAACACCCGGCACAGCCAACACCCGGCACAGCCAACACCCGGCACAGCCAACACCCGGCACAGCCAACACCCGGCACAGCCAACACCCGGCACAGCCAACACCCGGCACAGCCAACACCAGGCACAGCCAACACCAGGCACAGCCAACACCCGGCACAGCCAACACCCGGCACAGCCAACACCCGGCACAGCCAACACCCGGCACAGCCAACACCCGGCACAGCCAACACCCGGCACAGCCAACACCCGGCACAGCCAACACCCGGCACAGCCAACACCCGGCACAGCCAACACCCGGCACAGCCAACACCAGGCACAGCCAACACCAGGCACAGCCAACACCCGGCACAGCCAACACCCGGCACAGCCAACACCCGGCACAGCCAACACCCGGCACAGCCAACACCCGGCACAGCCAACACCCGGCACAGCCAACACCCGGCACAGCCAACACCCGGCACAGCCAACACCCGGCACAGCCAACACCCGGCACAGCCAACACCCGGCACAGCCAACACCCGGCACAGCCAACACCAGGCACAGCCAACACCAGGCACAGCCAACACCCGGCACAGCCAACACCCGGCACAGCCAACACCCGGCACAGCCAACACCCGGCACAGCCAACACCCGGCACAGCCAACACCCGGCACAGCCAACACCCGGCACAGCCAACACCCGGCACAGCCAACACCCGGCACAGCCAACACCCGGCACAGCCAACACCCGGCACAGCCAACACCCGGCACAGCCAACACCCGGCACAGCCAACACCCGGCACAGCCAACACCCGGCACAGCCAACACCCGGCACAGCCAACACCCGGCACAGCCAACACCCGGCACAGCCAACACCCGGCACAGCCAACACCCGGCACAGCCAACACCCGGCACAGCCAACACCCGGCACAGCCAACACCCGGCACAGCCAACACCCGGCACAGCCAACACCCGGCACAGCCAACACCCGGCACAGCCAACACCCGGCACAGCCAACACCCGGCACAGCCAACACCCGGCACAGCCAACACCCGGCACAGCCAACACCCGGCACAGCCAACACCCGGCACAGCCAACACCCGGCACAGCCAACACCCGGCACAGCCAACACCCGGCACAGCCAACACCCGGCACAGCCAACACCCGGCACAGCCAACACCCGGCACAGCCAACACCCGGCACAGCCAACACCCGGCACAGCCAACACCCGGCACAGCCAACACCCGGCACAGCCAACACCCGGCACAGCCACGGCACAGCCAACACCCGGCACAGCCAACACCCGGCACAGCCAACACCCGGCACAGCCAACACCCGGCACAGCCAACACCCGGCACAGCCAACACCCGGCACAGCCAACACCCGGCACAGCCAACACCCGGCACAGCCAACACCCGGCACAGCCAACACCCGGCACAGCCAACACCCGGCACAGCCAACACCCGGCACAGCCAACACCCGGCACAGCCAACACCCGGCACAGCCAACACCCGGCACAGCCAACACCCGGCACAGCCAACACCCGGCACAGCCAACACCCGGCACAGCCAACACCCGGCACAGCCAACACCCGGCACAGCCAACACCCGGCACAGCCAACACCCGGCACAGCCAACACCCGGCACAGCCAACACCCGGCACAGCCAACACCAGGCACAGCCAACACCAGGCACAGCAACACCCAGCCGGCACAGCCAACACCCGGCACAGCCAACACCCGGCACAGCCAACACCCGGCACAGCCAACACCCGGCACAGCCAACACCCGGCACAGCCAACACCCGGCACAGCCAACACCCGGCACAGCCAACACCCGGCACAGCCAACACCCGGCACAGCCAACACCCGGCACAGCCAACACCCGGCACAGCCAACACCAGGCACAGCCAACACCAGGCACAGCCAACACCCGGCACAGCCAACACCCGGCACAGCCAACACCCGGCACAGCCAACACCCGGCACAGCCAACACCCGGCACAGCCAACACCCGGCACAGCCAACACCCGGCACAGCCAACACCCGGCACAGCCAACACCCGGCACAGCCAACACCCGGCACAGCCAACACCCGGCACAGCCAACACCCGGCACAGCCAACACCCGGCACAGCCAACACCCGGCACAGCCAACACCCGGCACAGCCAACACCCGGCACAGCCAACACCCGGCACAGCCAACACCCGGCACAGCCAACACCCGGCACAGCCAACACCCGGCACAGCCAACACCCGGCACAGCCAACACCCGGCACAGCCAACACCCGGCACAGCCAACACCCGGCACAGCCAACACCCGGCACAGCCAACACCCGGCACAGCCAACACCGGCACAGCCAACACCCGGCACAGCCAACACCCGGCACAGCCAACACCCGGCACAGCCAACACCCGGCACAGCCAACACCCGGCACAGCCAACACCCGGCACAGCCAACACCCGGCACAGCCAACACCCGGCACAGCCAACACCCGGCACAGCCAACACCCGGCACAGCCAACACCCGGCACAGCCAACACCCGGCACAGCCAACACCCGGCACAGCCAACACCCGGCACAGCCAACACCCGGCACAGCCAACACCCGGCACAGCCAACACCCGGCACAGCCAACACCCGGCACAGCCAACACCCGGCACAGCCAACACCCGGCACAGCCAACACCCGGCACAGCCTTCCCTTCCCCTCCCCCACGTTCCTCCTCTCCCCCTCCCCCACAATATGACTAACCTGAGAAGATAATTCCGCGGGTGGTTCTTATGAAGCCCCCCCACCCATCCCCCAGTCAACCCCACAAATACTGCCTTTCCCATCACCACCAGAAACCCGTTGCTCATAGGTACTCCTTTCCACCTCCACCACCATCGCCCTCCTCCGTTTGACTGACCTCAGCTCTATTACCTCCACTAAGCCGTATAATGTCCCTTGAGCAGCCCCACCACCTCACAGGCAATGCTGCTGCCACTGCCAGGCCCCTTCTCAATCTGACTGACCTGCGTGAAGATGGCGCCGCTGAGTCCAATGAAGCCCTTGAGCAGCCGCACAGGCATTGCTGTTACCTCCATCCCTCACAGGCACTGCCGCCCATGCCAGGCCCCTTCTCAATCAACCTCACCGACCTGCGTGAAGATAGCTCCGCTTAGCCCTATGAACCCCTTGAGCAGCCCCACCACCACGCCCCTGTCGCCCTCAAAGTTGCGAATGCTGCCAGGTGGAACCAACCAGACACAAGGGATGGGGATCGGGGGAGGAACGGGAAGGGGAGAGGCGGAAAGCGATGGGGGAAGTGGGTCGAGCGCAGAAGGAATGGCGGGACGACAGTAGAGGGGAAAGACGGGTCCGGTTGTTTGGGCGGGCGGAGAGGGGGCGTGGGACGAAGGAGACGGAAAAAAAAAAAGTGGGAGCTTGTAGGGGAAGCAGCAAAGTGGTTGTGGAGCCATGCACGTGAGTGATACATACGCAGAGGTCGAGAGGGACCCTCACCACGTGACGAGCACGGCCGTGTTAAACCACGTGGCTCCATTGGTTCCCAGCATGATGAATGCACACATCTGCCACGTGGCATGGCATGGCATGAAATGGCATGGCATGGCATGAGATGGCATGGAATGGCATCGCATGGTATGGCATGGCATGGAATGGCATGGAATGGCATCGCATGGTATGGCATGGCATGGAATGGCATGGCATGGCATGACATGGCATACATAGGCATGGCATGGATGAGATGATGTGATGATGCCACCATGCGACCCAGCACATGATGATGAATGGCACGCCACCCACACACACAGTGGATGCACTTGAGGATTGGGTTGGATTGAACACACGGACACATGGTTGCACGCATTGGGACGAGGGACGATACTCTTGAACCCGCTGAAAAGCAAGACATTTGAAGGTATGAGAGCATCGAGAGAGCATTGGGTTTGGGTGCAAACAAAGGCAAGAGCAGAATCACCTGTGAGGCTACTTGAGACACACACAATCAGTCAGTCACAATTATCTGAGACTCGGTTCACCTGAAGAATCGCAGGACTACTGGCCAACTAGCCGGCAAGACTCGCCTGAACAGGATATTTTTGCATAAGCAGGTGTTTCAGGTTTCAGAGAGAGATCCCACTGCAAGAGCCGTGGGGGGAACGCACCTGCCAGAATGGAGGGCGGGTGATCCCCATCGACGCCATGTACAGCTGGCACGCGGTGATTGGTGGCGGGAGGGAGAGAGGGGGGCGAGGGTTGAAAGGGCGGAATAGGGAGGTGGTGAGGAACTGAGACCCGGATAGGTATTTAGCGGGGGAAGGGGAGTGAAAGGAGGAGGGGGATGGAACAGGGAGAGGGATGGAAGCGGGGACGAGGAGGAGGGGGGATAGGGGCAGAAAGCGAGAGAAGGAGAGCGCTTTGTGCCGATGGAAGTACTAAGCTGATTCACGGATGCAGTCAGGTGCAATGTTCACTGCGCGCCTATAACGAGGATAGGTGTACCATGGAGTACCCGAACAGATGCATGGCGGCGCCTATAGCGAGGATAGCCCATGCGGGCATGAGATCGATCAGTAAACCCGATACAATCCCCACGTTCCCGCCAATGTCCTTTGCGGTCCCTAAGCCGTCCACGGCTTCCTGCGAGTACTGTAGCTTGTCTTTTAACGCGGCGGAGTATAACGAGAACGCGTAGGAGATCCCCCCGCACGCCTGCAGCCACATCCCGAGAATGAGCCCCAGCCACCGGTCCCGCCACATGCGCTGCACGCGATTCCACACCGTCGCCATGGCTCGCGCTAGGTCTAGTACCGACGCGAATTACGACGGCGCGGGTCCCGCGAAGAGGAGAAGCGGTATCACGGGTGCTAGTCTGCTAACAGTGTCGGATTCTCAGCTGCTTGATTGGACTCTAAAGCGCGGCGCGTGTTGGGCGGCAATGTGATCCTAATTCGCGGCGCGTCGAATGCAAACAAGGTGAGGCTGACGTGAAAACTACACAAGGGAATGACTGCAGGCGAGCCGTCGGTAAGTATACGCGAAGAATTCAAAAGCCGACGTCGAGCAAACGGGCCGTTGCCTGCCAAGCCGCCTGCTTCATCACACCCCATAGGTAAAACGCATGCACAACAATGGTAGTAATGGATGGTTTGATCCATCCTCTTAGTAATCTGAAGCTCTAAGAACTATCAATACAAAACGCTTTTTGTATTAATGGCTCTTCCTGAACTGTACCTTCTCTGAGGTTGAGTGTTAAGGGGGGATTTACTGTTCCCTTTGAACAGTACTTTCCCAACCCATCCAACTCATCCTTATCCTTATCTTCCTAGATTTCCTAGTGCCACGTCGCACTCTACTTTCTTTGCCTTCTAGTTCCTAGTCCCACAACCCACTTTCCTTCAATTGTTCTTGCATGCTATATCAACCTTGCTTGTATTCCCTCATATCAATCAATTTGTCAGAATCCCAACCACTAGACCATTGGGATAAAAGGGCTTTTTTTTCAGTAGCGGGTCAGTGAGCCCATAACCCCCCAGGCGAACGCGCCTGTAACCCTCTCCAGGATCAATCGCGCATCCACAGTGCAGATCTACTGACACCCCTCCATGCTGGGAGGCCCAGGACTAAGCACAGCGGCAACGGCCTACATGTGCATACACCGGGAATCGAACCCGAGACCGCTCTCATACCATGTCAGAATCCCAACCACTAGACCATTGGGATAAAAGGGCTTTTTTTCAGTAGCGAGTCAGTGCTATCGAGAATAAATAGTTAAGTTGAAAGGAAGGGCCTAGGCTTAGTAGCCTAGGCCCGAACTTAGGTGTCGAGTAGGTTTCTCCTAGGCGATGTATCGAGTGAGTTGAGAAGAAAGTTGGGGAATGATGGTTTCACTATAGGGTTCGAAATACATATAGCATAGGAACCAAATAAGGTGCACCACCAACAACAGTTTAAATAACTACACTAACTACAACTACAAGCAGTTATAAAACATGACAAATATATTTCGACACGCCCCCATAATGCTTGTAGGTAGATATGTAGTTACGCCATTCAAAAGAATAGCAAGCAACAGCAGGTACCCCTTCCATCTCCTCACCCTCCTCCTTCCCCTCCCCCACACTGCTGCAAGAGCAGCAGAGAAGGGGGGGAAGTGAGGAGTGGTGGAGGGACGGCTGCATGTTGCCTCACACCCGCCACCCCGGTACCACTCCCCCTGCTCCCCCACATCCTCACACCCTCCCCCCCCAGCGGCAGCTGCAGTGGTGGGACTGAAAGAAGGAGGAGGGGAAGGGAGAGAGGTGACCCAACACTCCAACACCCTCCACCCCCATACCCTCCTCCCCACGGCTGCAGGGAGACAAAGGAGGAGGGGGTGGGCGGGAAGAAAGCCGCAGAGCGGAGAAAAGGTGTCGGTGCAGATGGGCCAGGGGCGGCTTCAGGGAGAGCAGGGGCGGAAAGGCCCGTCGCGTGCCAGTGCCACGGGGCGCACGACGGGTAGGAGAAGAAAGAGGGCCCGATCGTGTGCCTAGGGGCGCATGACGAGCAGGGCACCATCGTGTGCCACGGGGCGCACGATGGGCAGTTGAAGGGCACCGTCGCGTGTCACGGGGCGCGCGACGGGCAGAGTAGGAGTCACACACCCGTGGGCGGGACAAGGTAAAAATCGTCACGCGCCCTAGGCGCGCGACCGAAAAATCATAGCGGAAGCGTAGGGCGGGCCCACAGGCCAGGTCGTAATTAGCTCCGATAACATATCGAGAATAAATAGTTAAGTTGAAAGGAAGGGCCTAGGCTTAGTAGCCTAGGCCCGAACTTAGGTGTCGAGTAGGTTTCTCCTAGGCGAGGTATCGAGTGAGTTGAGAAGAAAGTTGGGGAATGATGGTTTCACTATAGGGTTCGAAGTACATATAGCATAGGAACCAAATAAGGTGCACCACCAACAACAGTTTAAATAACTACACTAACTACAACTACAAGCAGTTATAAAACATGACAAATATATTTCGACAAGTGCGCCCGTAACCCCCCAGGCGAACGCGCCTGCAACCCTCTCCAAGATCAATCGGGCATCCACAGTGCAGATATATTGACACAATTCTTATTCAACTCTTCTTCAATTACTCAGTAACTTCCTCGCCTATTTCGCCAATAGTTCTTTCGCCAAAGTCTTCCGCCGCATTTCATCCTCGACTTAGTCGACCGCGCTAATTCTTTAGCAAACTTAGGCCGTCGGGCCTAACACTCTGTATCAGAGCCTTCGCGGGGAGCGACTTCCAACGAGCGACCGTCGACGACGAGACTACGACGTCATCGTTGTCATAACATTATAGCTTATGCTTTTGTGTAGGCTATAGTGGGGTATCCCATAGGGGGTACAACCCAATTAGGGTTAGTACTTGTACCCACTTCATTCATAGTTCATTCATTCTCGTTCGCATTTTCTCATGGTATCGAGCAGGTTCCCTCGTGGGAACTGTTCCTAGGGCCCACCGATCCCTTTTTTTTTCCTGCCCGGGGCGCGTCCTGCCCCTGTCCGAAGCGCACCTAGGGTCGCGCCCTTCTTAGCGGCCCCGTCGCGTCACCTTAGCGGCCCGTCGCGCCGCCCTTACGGCCGCGTCGCGCAGCCCTAACGGCCGCGTCGCGCCGCCCTTTCACCAGCGGCCCCGTCGCCGCCCTAGCAGCGGCCCGTCGCCGCCGCCCTTCTCACGGCCCCGCCGTCTCGCTACACGGCCCCGCCGCCCTCACTTGCGGCCCGCCGCTCCCAACTGCGGCCCCGTCGCCCTCAACTGCGGCCCCGCCGCCCTCAACTACTGCGGCCCCGCCGCCCTCAGCTGCGGCCCCGCCGCCCTCTTCTGCGGCTCCGCCGCCCTCAACTGCGGCCCCACCGCCCTCTGCTGCGGCCCCGCCGCCCTCTGCTGCGGCCCCGCCGCTTTCACCTGCGGCCTCGCCACCTTCTGCGGTGGCCCCGCCGCTCTCACCTGCGGCCCCGCCGCTTTCACCTGCGGCCCCGCCGCCCTCTGCTGCGGCCCCGCCGCTCTCACCTGCGACCCCGCCGTGCTCACTGGAGGCCCCGCCACTCTCACCTGCGGCCCGGCCGCTTTCACCTGCGGCCCCGCCGCCCTCTGCTGCGGCCCCGCCGCTCTCGCCTGCGGCCCCGCCACTCTTACTGGCGGCCCCGCCGCTCTCATCTGCGGCCCCGTCACCTGCTGCAGCGCCGCCCGCCACCCGACCCGCCCCACCCAGCCGAGCAGCCGACCGCCGCGCTGCCCTACAGCAGCACAGCCGAGCCGCCCGGGCAACCGAGCGACCGGACAGCCGAGCCGCCGAGCCGCCCAGCAGCCCTACAGCCGAGCCGCCCAGCAGCCGAGCCGCCGTACAGTCGAGCCGCCGGGCAGCTGAGCCGTACTCCAGCCGAGCCGCCCAGCCGCCGAGCCGCACTGCTGCCGAGCCGCCCAGCCGCCGAGCCGCTCGGTAGCCGAGCCGCCGAGCCGCCCTGCTGCCGAGCCGCCCGAGCTGCCCCGTCTGGTAAGCACAGCGCCTCTTTCACTACACTGCCCTCACCCTACTGTCTGCACTACTAGCCTACTGTGGTCATGGCTACCTCTAGTCTCCTTGCTTTTGACGCTGAGGGTCGGGTCATTGACTTTGAGGTCTGGGTCGATGACCTACAGCTGTTCTTACATTGCGATAGGGCAGACGGCCTCTCTCTCTTTGACCTCACCTCTGGTGCTTCTCCTGCCCCTGCTGCTGATGCTGGCGCCACTGTTCGCTCCCAATGGGCCACGCGCGACGCTGCTGCACGTCTTGCTGTGCGTCGCCACCTCCCTACCTCCGAGCGTGCGCACTTTAGTCAGTACAAGAGTGCTCAGACCTTGTACGACGCTGTAGTTGCACGCTACTCCTCCCCTGCTACTGCTGCACTGAGCCGTCTCATGCTGCCATACCTCTTCCCTGACCTTGCTGCCTTTCCCATAGTCGCTGACCTCATTACGCACCTCCGCACTAGTGACACTCGCTACCGTGCTGCGCTTCCTGCTGAGTTCTGCGCCAAGAACCCCCCCCCCCCCCCCCATGTATATCACCCTCTATTACATAGTCACCCGACTCCCAGACTCCCTACGCGTAGTCAGGGACCACTTCCTAGCAGTGTGCCCCACCACTCTCACCGTTGACCTCCTCGAGAAGGCCCTCCTAGCGGCGGAGAAGAGCATAGTCGCTGTAGGAGCCTCTCGTGGTGACCCCCGCACCCCTGTCTTTGAGGGGTGTTCTCCCTCCCCCCTCTTGCCCTCTGTTGCTTCTGCTGCTGCGGCCGACCTCGTTGGTTTTGAGTCGGTTGGTGCTACGTCTGCCCCTTCGGGGAAGCGCCGCACAGGCAAGGGCAAGGGGGGAAAGGGCGCTGGAGGAGCAAGCGGGGGCGGTGGAGGTGGTGGTGGAGGCAGCGGAGGGAGTGGGAGCGGTGGTGGGAGTGGCGGAGGAGGTGGGGGTACCGGTGGCAGCGGTGGGGGCGGAGGTGGCGGCGGTGGCGGAGGGAGCGGAGGAGGCGGTGGTAGCGGAGGCGGCGGTGGTGGCGGAGGCGGCGGTGGTGGCGGAGGTGGCGGAGGCGGCGGAGGTGGCGGTGGAGCTGGTCGCGGGTCTACGCAGAGAAGTGGCTCCGGTGGTGGTCCGCGCTAGCAGCAGCAGCGCGGTCGTGAGACCCTGTCCCCTCAGCAGCTCCGTGAGTGGTACACTGCACACCAGCGGGGTAGGGGTTTTGGTCCGTGCACCTACGTTCTGCGCACCGGCGACCG